AAAACAAAAAACAAATTTATGTGTGCAGCCTGTGGTATAAAATCAGCTGATTTAAGATACGTGTAACTTAGTTCCAGAAGGAGAAGAGGAGGGAATGGAAACAATATTTGGAGAAATAGTGGCTGGAAATTTCCCAAATTTGATGAAAACTGCAAACTACGAAGCTCAAAAACCCCAAACAGAGCAAACGTAAAGAAATCCAAGGTATCTCATAATCAGATTGCCAGAAAACCAGTGATCAAGATCAAAAGCTTTCAAAGCAGCCGGAAGAAAAGACACATTACAGAGGAACAAAGTTACTAATAACAGTGATTCCTGGTCATATCCTGTGAACCAGAGACAACAGAGCGACATTTTCAAAGTACTGAAAGAAAAAAACCTATTAGCTTAGAGTTCTGTACCCAACAAAAATGTCTTTCAAAAAATGAAGGATAAATTTTTATTTATTTCAAAAGTAAAGAAATTTTTAGGCTGGGCCCAGTGGCTTATGCCTGTAATCCTAGCACTTTGGAAGGCCAAGGCGGGCAGATCACCTGAGGTCAGGCGTTTGAGACCAGCCTGGCCAACATGGTGAAAGCTCGTCTCTATTAAAAATATAAAAATTAGCTGCATGTGGTGGTGGGCACCTGTAGTCCCAGCTACTTGAGAGGCTGAGGGTGGAGGGTCACTTGAACCCAGGAGGCAGAAGTTGCAGTGATCTGAGATCATGCCACTGCACTCCAGCCTCGGTGACAGAATAAGACTTCATCTCAAAAATAAATAAAAACAAAAGAGAAACTTTTAGACCAAGAGACATCAAGATTTATTGCCAGCAGAATGGTACTAAAGGAATTTAAAGGAAATTCAAATAGAAAATATTCAGTGGGAAAATTATATATATATATTGTTTATATATGTATATAGAATATATACATATATATGTATCATATGTATATGTATATATATTTTATATATGTGTGTACATATATATTTGTATGAGACAAGGTCTCACTGTAGTGCTCAGGCTGGAGTGGAGTGGGTGTGATCTCAGCTCACTGCAGTCCCTGTCACCTCCTGCCTCAGCCTCCTGAGTAGTCGGGACAACAAGTATGTGCCACTATGCCCAGCTAATTTTTGTATGTTTTGTAGAAATGGGGTCTCACTATGTTGCCCAGACTGGTCTCGAGCTCCTGACTTCAAGCAACCCATCCACTTCAGACTCTTAAAGTGTTGGGATTATAGGCGTGAGGCACTGCGCCCAGCCTTAAATAGTTTCCATCTGGGGCCAGGCATGGTGGCTCACACCTGTAATCCCAGGACTTTGGACAGGAGGAGAGGGCAGATTGCTTGAGCTCAGGAGTTTCAGGCTACAGTGAGCTATGATCATGCCACTGCACTCCAGCCTGAGTGACAGAGTGAGACCCTGTCTTTCTAAAAGGGGAAAATAATGGTAAAGTCGACAAAGCTCCAGTGAAACTGTTAAGGAAGAAAAAAGAGGTATAAATACCGAAATGAAATGAAAAAGGTGAAAACACTATGGATTCAGTAGACCGTTAAGCTATCATAAAAGGATATTGGAAATAGCATCATGCTATTTACATCTGAAAGTTTAGGTAAAACAGACAAATTTCTTTCAAAATGTAGCTTAACTGAAAGCGACTGAAGAAGAAATTAAAAACCTTAACCAGTCCTATAACTACTAAAAGTGTTTAGATTTAAATATATATATATATGATTGAAGGAATGCTGGGCATGTGTATAAACCCATTCTGAATTAAAGATTAAAACCCATTTCTGAATATGCAATTGTATCGATGAGGGCTCTTTCTGATGTAAATTTTAAGAAATTCAACCTGAGCTGATTTGTTGTTGTTGTTGTTTTTTGTTGTTGTTGTTTTTGAGACAGAGTCTCCCTCTGTCACCAGGCTGGAGTGCAGTGGCGTGATCTCAGCTTACTGCAACTTCCACCTCTTGGGTTCAAGCGATTCTCCTGCCTCAGCCTCCTGAGTAGCTGGGATTACAGGCGTGCGCCACCAGGCCCAACCATTTTTTGTATTTTTAGTAGAGATGGGGTTTCACCTTGGCCAGGATGGTCTTCATCTCCTGACTTTGAGATCTGCCTGCCTCAGCCTCCCAAAGTGCTGGGACTACAGATGTGAGCCATCACACCCGGCCAACCTTAGCTGTCTGAAGTAAATAAAAGGAAGGTTTGACTCATTAATTCTGACCTGGCTTGTGTGTTCAGAGATGAACCAGCTCTGGGCAGGGGAATAAGATGCTCTGAATGATGAGATGCAAATCACAGGCTTTGCCCAAGCCCAGGGGTTGGAGTCAGTGCCTCTGGAAGCTGGTGGACTGAACTAGGAATTTATACCTGACAAGAAGTCAGGGTACAGAAACCATGGGGAATGTGAACAGATATTTGGCTACAACATTAAATCTTCATTGCAGTAATTCCCAGATGTACAATTTCATGAATTCTTTATTCAAAATTATTATAAAATTCTATAATAAAGGAGTCTTAGTTGGCCAGGTGTGGTGGCTCATGCCTGTAATCCCAGCACTTTGGGAGGCCAAGGCCGGGAGGATTGCTTGAGACCAGGAGTTTGAGACCAGGCCTGGGCAACATAGTGAGACCCCATCTCTTAAAAACATTTTTTTTTTTTTTTTTTTTTTTTTTTTTTTTGAGACGAAGTCTCACTTTGTTGCCCAGGCTGGAGTACAGTGGCGCAATCTTGGCTCATTGCAACCTCCGCCTTCCAGGTTCAAGAGATTCTCCTGCCTCAGCTTCCTGAGTAGCTGGGACTGCAGGCATGTGCCACCATGTCTGGCTAACTTTTTATTTTTATTAGAGACAGGGTTTTTACCATGTTGGCAAGGCTGGTCTCGAGCTCCTGATCTCAGGTGATCTGCCCTCCTCAGCCTCCCAGAGTGATGGAATTATAGACTACAGTCGTGAGCCACTGCTTCTGGCCTAAAAAATTTTTTTTTAATTTGCTGTGTGTGGTGGCACATGCTTGTAATCTCAGCTGCTAGGGAGGATCTCTTGAGCCCAGGAGTTTCAAGGCTGTAGTGAGCCATGATTGTGCCACTGCACTCTAACCTGGGTGACAGAGGTAGACCATGTCTGAAAAAAAAAAAAAAAAGAAAAATTTAGAATACTATTATACCTCTGTTCAGTTAGTAGGAATTAAAAAGTCTGACAATTGTTGCTGAAAAAGTTAAGCAACAGAAACCCTCTCATACCTTTCTGATGGGAGTGTATATTACAACTGCTTTGGGAAATAGTTTGGCTTTACTGTATAAGCTAGCAGTCATATTTCTAGGTATGTGCACTAGAGAAATACATGCCTAAAGTGCTTGAGACAGCTGTACCAGAAAAATATTCGTGTTTGTATTTGCTCCAAAGCAAATACACGCTAGAAGATGAGATTGGTTAACTAAATTATGGCATATTTACTGAGCAGAATATTACACAGCAATGAAAACAAACCACAGACACAGTAACAACGAAAAAGGGAAAGAAAAAAGCAAGACAGGAATATATATAGCAATCCACCCACCTCATTGATTCTGTTTATTTTCATCTGCTTCTGGATTTTTTATAAATTACGTTTGGTCGGGCTGCACACCTGGGTGATAAATCTCTAAAGAAAAGTTAGGAAATGATAACCATACGAGCTAAGGCACAGTAGCTCATGCCTGTAATCCCAGCACTTTGGCAAGGTGAGGTGGGAGGATCACTTGAGCCCAGGAGTTCCAGACCAGTTTCGGCAACATAGGGAGATCCAGCCTCTAAAAATAAAAATAAAAAAATTATCTGGCTGTGGTGGCATCCTCCTGTGCTCCCAGCTACTTGGGAGGCTGAGATGGGAGAATTGCTTGAGTCCAGGAGGTCGAGGCTGCTGTGAGTTGCCATTGCGTCACTGCACTCCAGCCCAGGTAACAGAGCAAGACCCTGCCTCAACAAATCAAATAAAAACCATTTTGTTAAGGGAATACTTATGTATGTGGTGGAAGGGGTTTGGGGTCAGAGAGAGGCACCCGGCCTTTAAGGAGTTCTGGCGATGCTCCATCCCTTGGCCTTCGTGGTAATTAGACGTATTTATATGATAATTTAATGAAATTGTATATATATGTTTCCTGTACCTTTCTCTAAGTAAGTAATACCTCATGGTAAAAGCAATTTTAAAGTAATCTTTTTTTTTTTTTTTTTTTTTTTTTTGGGGGGGGTGGAGTTTCGCTCTTGTTACCCAGGCTGGAGTGCAATGGCGCGATCTTGGCTCACCGCAACCTCTGCCTCCTGGGTTCAGGCAATTCTCCTGCCTCAGCCTCCTGAGTAGCTGGGATTACAGGCACTTGCCACCATGCCCAGCTAATTTTTTGTATTTTTAGTAGAGACGGGGTTTCACCATGTTGACCAGGATGGTCTCGATCTCTCGACCTCGTGATCCACCCGCCTCGGTCTCCCAAAGTGCTGGGATTACAGGCTTGAGCCACTGTGCCCGGCAAAGTAATCAGTTTTTATAATGCATATTCCATTAAAAAATGTGGAAAATCTGCAAAACACATGCATGTACAGTAGTTAAACATGTGTAATCTTAAATTTCTTCATGTTATAGAAATTTACATTTTGAAATTTTATTTGTATTTATTTATTTGAGATGGAGTCTCGCTCTGTTGCCCAGGCTGGAGTGAGTGCAGTGGCATGATCTTAGCTCACTGCAACCTCTGCCTCCCAGGTTCAAACTATTCTCCTGCCTCATCCTACCTAGTAGCTGGGATTACAGGTGTGTGGCACCACACCTGGCTAATTCTTGTATTTTTAGTAGAGATGGGGGTTTCACCATGTTGATCAGGCTGGTCTCAAACTCCTGACCTCAGGCGATCCGTCCTCCTGAGCCTCCCAAAGTGCTGGGATTACAAGCATGAGCCACTGTGCCTGGCCTTGAAATTTCATTTTTAAAAGCTCTAAATATTTTCCAGATGAGAATTGACCAAATGTTATTATTATTTTCTAGGTAAGGGACTCCACTACAGTAATTAAAGAAGGATAAGGTTGGCGTTGCTTCGCTTCTTTTTTTTATTGAAGTCCTTCCTTCCCGATCAAGCGTCCATATTTCACCTTAAAGCATATGACACAAAGGTATGCCACTAGAAAATTTTAATTTGTGTAGATTTCTTTCTTCAGCTGTTAATTTTTCATTTTGCATAAAAATTAAGTAATTAAATTGCAGAACATCCTGAACATATTCACTGTTGGCTTTAGCACTTTGATTCTTCTGCAGATGTATTTGACTTTCTACATACATGGTACTTTGTTTTGGTTTGTGTCTGACCTTATTTTTATTTTTCATTTTTTTTCAAACCAGTATTAAACTGAAAATAGTAGATACTGTACATGATGGCCCGAATGAGTGAATAAGTTGGAAAAGCAGGAGTGGTGGCCTGCACCTCTCTGTGAAAGGCCTGCTTTCCGAAATCTTAGTCGTGCCCTTCCCTAGAAGGTGCCCACTGCAGGCAGCTGGGGGTGTCGCCTGCCTCATGGAGTATTGCATTTTTTGATAAAAGAACATTTGCTCCTTAACCATCTTTCTCTAGGAGTTTGAAAGAAAATAAAATACTGTGTTTCAGTCTCTTAATTTGTGACTGGGTGGCTGGGATGGAAGGATCTCTTGAGAGTTTGAGCCCAACCTGGGCAACATAGTGAGACCCTATCTAAAAAGATAAAATAATTAACTGGATATGGTGGTGTGTGCCTGTAGTCCCAGCTACTTGGGAGGCTGAGGCAGTAGGATCACTTGAGCCCAGGAATTCTAGGCTGCAATGAACTAGGATCATGCCACTGTACTCTAGGCTGGCCATAGACCAAGACCCTGTCCCTTAAAAAAAAAAAAGGGCTGGGTGCGATGGCTCATGCCTGTAATCCTAGCACTTTGGGAGGCCAAGGCAGGTGAATCACCTGAGGTCAGGAGTTTGAGACCAGCCTGGCCAGCATGGTGAAACCACATCTCTGCTAAAAATACAAAAAATTAGCCGGACATAGTGGCAGACACCTGTAATCCCAGCCAGGAGGCAGAGGTTGCAGTGAGCTAAGATTGCGCCATTGCACTCCAGCCTGGGCAACAAGAGCGAAACTCCATCTCAAAAAATATGTATATGACAATAAATCTTTCATATGTTAGAATGTTAATATAAGTATGAAAAGTTTGAAATGTTTGCTTCCAAAATGAGATTTAATACATAACTATTTTTCATAAATTGAAAAGTGTCAAGAAAACTGCTGTTCAAATTTCATTTATAATCATAGTATCATCATAGTACCATTCAGTTTTCCCTGATAGTGTCTGGTGTTTTTAGTTTGTTTGAAGCAGGGTCCAAATAATTGCAGTTAGCTGATATGTCTGTTAAGTCTCTTAATCAATAGAATACTTTTCCCCATCCCTGTTTTCCTTGCATTTTATTTGTTGGAGAATCTTGGCTGATTGTCCAGTAATCAGAAGTTCCCCCACTCTGGCCTTTGCTGTTTCCACTGGACATGTTCTTCTGCCTCTGGGTGGATATAGAGGCTCGTTCCTTCTGGCTGAGCCTTTCAGCACAGGTGCGTCAGAGGTGCATGGCGCCCTCACCAGGAGGCACACATCTGTGCAGATGTGAGATCCAGCGTTGTTTTTTTTCCCTTTTGTCATTTTTATTTAAAAGACACAGGCTCTTGCTATGTTCCCCAGGCAGGTTTCGAACTCCTGGCCTCAAGCATTCCTCCCATGTCAGCTTCCCAAAGTATGCTGCAGGCATGAGCCACGGTGCCTGGCAGATCCAGTATTTTTTGAAATCTCATGTTTTATTCTAGCAATTGATTGAAACATTATAATCGCCTCACAGTGTGACCATGTTTTATGCTTTTCACTTCTTCAAATATAGTTGGTACTCCAGGAAGATGAACCTTATCACACTTAAAATTTCTACCCCTTACACAGCCCCAGGGCTCCAGCCCTGTGTGGCGGGCATGGCCTTGGGGAGGCCTCCATCTGGAGAGGTGCTGCCTGCACTTGGTTGCATGTCAAGTGGACTTAGCCCTTGGCTCTTCTCCCTGCTTCCTGTCCAGATGGCAGGGCTCTGGCCCTGGGCCAGAAGAGGCACAGTGTCTTTGTATATAGTAAGGGCTGAATGAATACTTTTTAAAAATCCTAACTTGTATGAACTAAGGGATACTGACAATCCTGGGCCCCAAATAACTATTGATTTCTCGAAGGCTTTAATACCATGTCTTACACTGTGATTTAATCAGGTTCTTTCCTAGGTGTCTGCCTGAGTCACTTGGTCTGTGTGTCTCTCCCTCCCTGTCCTAAGGGGGCTTTTCATGTGTGCCTGTGATCTGCCTGTCTGACTGGTCAGAATCCAGCCTCCCGTTACTTGCCCAGGGTGCTTCCCGCAGTGGAACATTTGGCATCAGGTATCAGGAACAGAGTCAGTATGCTGAAATGTTTGCATGAATATGGATTTTCGGAAAGCCTTGTTATCAGCAGGGCACACCTGTCTGTTCATGATCTTTGCCCTTCTCCCTTTATTGGCATCATTTGGATGATACCTCTAATTGCCCTGCTGGGCTGGATGTGGAGCTGCTTTTCCCCACGTGTGTTATTGCTGTCTTACAGCAGGAGACTTTTGCTTTGTTTATCTGATGCTTCCTTTTTTTGGTTTTCCCCGGGCTTTCCAGCTCTTGGAGCACCCTTTTGTCAGCAGATGTACTTTTGTTTCCAGTTTTTAAATTCTAACTAAAGTGTAACATTCAACTAAAATCATAGAAATAGGGAACATAAAACAAATCATTAGTGTAATGGAGGCAGAGAAGAAAGTGAAAGGAATCCAGTCCTCCTCTTTGCTGTACTAGGTATAGATATGCCTCACCTGTCAGCGAGGGCCTTCCCGAGTAGCTGATGAGAAACAACACCTTTATGAAATAATTATCTCAAATAATTAGAGATGCCTTTCCTTTAGTTAAAAAGGAGACCTCAAAATACAGTAAACTCGTGTCTAGAACTGTAGCAAACAGTAAGTAAAGTAATAAGAGTAAAAATTCTGCTTGAAGAAGGCTGTAGAATAACAGTTGCAGATTGGGTGTGGTGGCTCACGCCTGTAATCCTAGCACTTTGGGAGGCTGAGGTGGGTGGATCACTTGAGGTCAGAAGTTTGAGGCCACCCTGGCCAACATGGTGAAACCCCGTCTCTATTAAAAATACAAAAAATAGCCGAGTGTGGTGGTGTGTACCCGTAATCCCAGCTCCTCAGGAAGCTGAGGCAAGAGAATCGCTTGAACCTGGGAGGCAGAGGTTGCACTGAAACCAAGATCACAGCACTGCACTCACTCCAGCCTGGGCAATAGAGTGAGACTCCGTCTCAAAAAAAAAAAAAAAAAAAAAAAAAAAGTCACAGAGCTCAGAGTGCCAGATGCTGCTGCTCCTGGTAGTTCTGGTCTTGGCCCTTCCTCAGCTCCTCCAAGTGTACCAGCTTGGGGGCCATTTTTTTAGTCACACAGTTGCCTTCATTGTAGTTTTCTTAGCGCCGGCTTTGCTCAGCGGATCTGTTGTTGCCATGCAGTACATTTCTCTCTGTGTGGGAACAAACATTCTCTTCTCAAACCCGGTGCTCAGGGAGGATAGGAAGTGGGCTATTAAGTAGGCAGTGGCCTCAGGTTCCCAGCATGTATATGACCACCATTCTAACCAGAGGCGCCTGTGTCCAGCATCTGAGCATTGGAACCTCCAAGGTGCTCCCGCAAATCAAGATGCCAAACATTAATTGGCAGGTCCCTAAAAGTTGCCTCGAATGCCATCTTTAATGTATTTAACTGAATTTGCACAATTTTTCTTGATGAACACAATAATTATAAATACACAATTGCCATTAACTTATAATGGTCATATCTAAATTTTAGGATAAAGATAGAATTTAACTATTTTTATGCCCATATATAGGCAATTATAATAAAGCTATTTATGTTTAAATCAAGAAATCTAATCAAAGGTTTTCGCAATCCTTCCACATACGCAGTCTCACTTATTTCTTGCTACTTCTGGTGGTAGGCCTGCCTGTGGAACACACGGGCATTCCTGCCTGTCCACTCAGTGTAAACAGACGAGATATGGTCACAGATTAGAAATTACCATCACAGACCAGGCGGGTGGTTCATGCCCGTAATCCTAGCACTTTAAGAGGCTGAGGCAGGACGATTGCTTGAGCCCAAGAGTTCAAGACCAGACTGGGCAACACTGGTGAGATCCACCTGGGCAACTTGGCGATACCCTATCTCTACAAAAAATAGAAAAGTTAGCCAGGTATGGTGCCGTATGCCTGTAGTCCCAGCTAGTTGGGAGGTTGAGGCAGGAGGATTGCTTCAGTCTGGGAGTTCAAGACCACAGTGAGCCATGTTCGCACCACTGCACTTCAGCCTGGGTGACAGAGGAAGAAAAGAAAGAAAAATAAGGAACGAAATTACCTCAAAGGAAAAAAAAGAAAATAAATTACCCTTATAGACATTTTACTGCTGTGAGCATGTGTATACATGCGTTTGAGTACCTTTTTTCAGTTCTTCTGAACATATACCTAAGAGTGGAATTGCTGGTCATATGGTAATGTTTTAACTTTTTGAGGAACTGCCAGCCTCTTTTCCTTAGTGGCTGAACCATTTTATGTTTCCACCAGCAGTGTATGAGGGTTTCAGTTTTTCCACATCCTAACACTTGTTATTTTCCTTTTTTAAAAAAATTATAGGCCAGACACGGTAGCTCACACCTGTAATCCCAGAACTTTGGGAGGCTGAGGTGGGTGGATCGTCTGAGCTCAGGAATTTGAGCCCACCTTGGGCAACATGGTGAAACCCCATCTCTACTAAAACACAAAAAATTAGCTGGGCATGGTGGCACCCACCTGTAGTCCCAGCTACCCGGGAGACTGAGGCACGAGACTTGCTTGAGCCCAAGAGGCAGAGGTTGCAGTGATCTGAGATCGTGCCACTGCACTCCAGCTCAGGCTACAGAATGACACCCTATCTTAAAAAGAAAAAAAAAGAAAGCCAGGCACATTGGCTTTTGCATGTAATCCCAACAATTTGGGAGGCCAACGTGGGAGGATCATGTGAGTCCAGGA